TTCACATTTATTTCCTAAAACTAGTCAATTAAATGAAATGAAACTCTTTCTAAATCCTCTACTATGTCCTCAGATTGACACGCAAACACTCTGAAATGTTCGCATTGGAGCTTCCAGTGCAAATGCCAAGCAGTACAACATGCCATTTCCAAATTTCTGGTGGAGGGAATTGCGTTATGGTGCTCTTTTTCTCACAGACTGTGTTCAACTGACCCTACTATACAGTGCAGTCAACAAAATCAAAAACAAACAATGTCCATGTGTGAAATTAAAAATATAAAATGGCAAAAATTTACCCATCGCACTATGTACATAATTTAAAAGTAAAGGAATTTCCTATAGGAAATGTGTTCAGCTACTTCTCTTGTATGCTTACTATATCTACATATATAATTGGTGTCTTTCAATTCTCATCACTTTATTTTCTATCAAGAGCATTACATTCTATTTAGTACATTTACTAAAGAAAATGCCAAAATTGAGATAGCTTGCAAAACTTTGATTTAATAACTTTCATGAATTTATACAAATTTTTAATGTTCTCATGTTTTTTCATATATCATGATTTCTTAATTATACATAAAAGTGTCTGTTTTGCCTTTCAATACATGTCTGTAGATCTGACTGTAAGTTAAACACCTTACAGCACCTCTAAATTCTGAAGACAAAGTCTGGTTTATTATCAGTTTTATTGAAAGGGTGAAACTAGAAAAAGAAATAATTAAAAACTTTAATCTGTTATTCAGATTAGAGTTTTTAATTATTTCAAAATAAATTAAAAGGTAAAAAGGAAGGTAAAGAAAAATATGACAAAAGCAGCCAGAGGTAGAACATAGGCAATAGAAGTTCCATACTGTAGTAACAGAACAATGTTTTTGTCGTCAATAATTTGATCAATAATCATTTGGAAAACTGCTATACCAATTATTAACACAGGAGAAAATAAAATTAATATAATATGCTGTAAGCCTTGAAGGTAGTATAAGATTTGTCTTGTTTTTATTGGAATTTTTGTGGTAAACAATGTAAGTTCGTGGTACTAAACACTATATTTTACTATCTTTGCCATTGATTTACAGTTGCTTTTATGAATAGTCAATAATTATTTATTTCTTATAGTTTTCACTATCTGTCATAATTAACAGCTGAGCTGTCCTTGTTAATATGCTTGGCTTGATAATACCTTCTGCCACTTTATTCAAAATCTATGAAATGAGTATCAAACACAAAATACCTTCTCAATTTGACAGTCAAATTGTTGAATAGCATAGGATATTGGAATAGCATAGGATATTGGAATAGCATAGGATATTGGAACTTCATGGTGGCTAAAACACAGAGAACAAGAGAGTTTGCATATTGACATCTGAATGCAGATCCAGAATGTTGTAGCCAATGATGAAATTTGCATATTTAGCCTGCTTTTTGGAACTCATGTAAACATAGTATATGATATTTATAGCACAATAATCAAATATTAAATTAATTGCAGCAATCGAGATAATGATAGAGATATTTTTTTCTATTAGTCTCCATTTTGAAATTCAATAACTCATGTTATTTTGCAATCAGCAGCCTAGCCAATTTTCCCAATGACTCACCAGATGTTAGATCAAAACTAATATATCCTGATAGGTTTGATATCCACTTTTTTTTATATAATGATAGGAAAAAAATTTTAAATATCTTATATTGCCAGTTGCAATTTAATTTAAGTATTAATATAATGATAAACAATTTGCAACATTTGGGTATTAATATATTCACATAAAAATTTTTATTTACAATATATTGCATATTATTAGTAATATTATGATAATTTGCAAAAAATATTTAAGTCAAATAGTGATATTGTTTTAAAAAATTTTATTTAAATCTTTGACAGTATTTTTTTTTTGAAATACATTAATTTATTTTATAATTATATGAAAAAACAAAAAAAAAAAAAAAAATTTAAATACTAATTTATTTACAATGGTTTGACATCCTTGAACGTAGTTTTATTTTTCGGTTTTTAATTTTTTTTTTTGCTTTTAGCCATTCATTTTTTGTGAATAAATTTCCAGTCGATATCTGAAAATAAATTTGCAACTTAGTCCATTCAACTCAATTTATTGTGTATTTTTGTCCAAACAAAAAAATAGCAAAAAGAAAACTTGTTTCTAAATATGTAATTTGTGTTCACTTTTTATTTATCGAATTATTTTTTTTATATAAATTAGAAAACAAATCTCATTTTTTTAAAACACGTGGCCTTTGTTTACAAATTGAAAAGTGACCAATCTTTATCAATATTTTTTTTAATCAATTAGAAGACACTTTAAATTACAACCAGGAAGATGTTCATTTCTTCTCTGACCCAAAAAGAATTCCTTCAAAAACATAAAGTAAGCAAAAAAAAAAAAAAAGAAAAAAAAAAGGGCAATTTTTTCTGGTACGCCACATTGTTATTGGGGTTTTGCAAATAAATTTCTAAAAAACAAGGAAAATAAAAAGTTTTTTTTAAAAGTGAAGCGAATACACCTAAAATTAAATATTAAAAATAATTAAAAGCTTTTAATTTTATTTTAGAATATTTATATTTCAAAGTCTGCAAGAATATCATCTGTTTTTTTAATAACATTTTTGCATTGAAATAAAACTATTTTAAAAATTTTAATATAATTACTTATTAAGATAAAAAAAATATTTTAAAAAGAAAATGAATTAATTTTCCTTTTTAGAAAAAAGACAGAAAGACCCAAAAAAGATTTGGCTAAAAAAAGAATTTTTTACTTTTTCTCCAAAAATGACTTGCAGTTTTGAAAATATACATTATACATCTAAAAACTGAGATTTTTTTAATTATTTTTTTCTAGATATTTTGTTAATATAAAATACACATTATTTTAAAAGTGAAATTAAGAATTATTAATTATTAATATCTAATTTTGCATTCCTAATTTTTTTTTTTAAAAAATCTTTCATTTTTACAAATAAGATTTCAGACAAAAAAATCAGACATAAAATTTAACATTTAAGATTAAACTTTTATTTTTTTTATTATTTTTTTTCACTATTTTTCTTAATTTTTTTTTTTTTTTTTTTTGAAACAAATAGATTTCCAAGACGTCATTTATTTCCTTTTTTTTTCTTAAAAAACAGTCAATTAAATTAAAAAAAAACTAGTCAATTAAATTAAATGTTTTTAACATATTTTTTCAATCTTTTTCTCTTACAGTAAGTAACGGTATAAAATATAAATGTTGATAAAATTTAATTCATACGGTTATCTCAGGTTTAAAATGTGTATATTTTCAAAACTGCAAGTCATTTTTACTGTAAAATTTACTCTTTTTTACCTACTATAGTTCGGTGTGTGTTCTGCCTATAAAATCCTTCTAAACATGGAAAATAAATTCATTTTATTTTTACTTTTACAAATGGTTTTATCTAGAGAATACACTTAAGTAAGATTAGATTGTGCGGATCTATTACGCACGAACATACATACAGTGTAACCCGGATATAAGAGAGTTGTCGGGACCGGAAAAGAAGTCTCTTATATCCGGGTTTCTCTTATATCCGGGTTTAGTCTATTTTGTTTACATTAAAACAGGCTCTAATTTGGAACCAGAGAAGATCTCTCTTATATCCGGGTCTCTTATATCCGGGTTACATGTACATACAAAAATACAAATCACATATAACGCCAAGCATTCATTGGTTAATTAATCACTACTACGTTATTATAGGCAATTTACAGATCGCAGTAATGCGACGATTTTGTAATCGCTCTATCTTTAAGTAGTCAATTCTGTGCACTTTTGGGAGAAACGGACCACAGAAGCTTTCTTAAGTCTCCCCAAAGCTCGCTCGCTGATTGGTCGATGCCAACCAATCAGATCATTTGCACGTGAAGAATAATTCTTCCTGCGCAGTGATTTGGAGCCTACAATTGCTTATAAAAGCTAAGGTCTTTTTCATCTCATTAGTGAGAAATTCAACTGCCAAACGAAACCACAACAGTTGAAACCATACGTCAACTTTCTCACTCACACACACCACTCACATGTTGAATATACCTTGTATACACTCACATAAACTCTTCTTACACAGCAATATCTTTCAAGAACAATCATTACAAGAGAGACTCTCATGAACATTCTTCCAGTGATCATTGGAACACTAAAATAACTGTTAAAGAGAGACAACTCTTGGTTAATTCAACCTTTTCTTACTTAAATGCATGCTTTCTTTCACATCGTTGTTTGATATTGTACATCTTGTTAAATACATATTTCATGTGTAACAATGTCTTTTTGTTATCCTTTTCTGTGTGAGCCCTGTTTCCTAATCTAAAGTTAAATTAATGTGGTGAAGTCCGCTACATTTGATTGGTGTACTCAAATGTGATTAGAAGGAGCCCGATGTGATTAGGAAAACCACATTTGGTTGGTATCCATTGGTAACCACGCCGTTCTAAGAGGAGTTCATTATTCAAAGAAGGCACCAATATTTCACTGTTACCCCATTTTGAAACACAAAATTTGGCCGGTGAAACTAGTAAGAGAATTGTGAGAAACATACCGAAATCAGCATATCAACTTGGCGCTCAAAATTTTTTCGTCATCACATGCGAATATGCACGCAACTCATCATGGCAGTCCCAGACAGTGACGGAGCTGCAGTGCTGGTCAACCTTCCCGTCTTCAACACGATAAACATTCACATTTGGTTCTCAGTTGAGCGCAATATTTCAGGCCAAGAGAATCCAGTCACAGAATGCTCGTTTCGCTTACGTAGTCGAGAAACTACCTCCCGACATCGAAGCGGAAATTTTCGATTTATTAGATAATGTCCCATCAGAGAACCCATTCGACTTTCTTAAAGAAGCCATTATATACAGGACCGGAAAGTCAGAGGAATGACGAATTAACGACCTGTTTAACACTCTTCAGCTTGACCAGAACAAACCAACCCAACTTCAGAAGATTAAAAACCTTCTGGGTAACAACAACATGTCAGATACCTTGCTACGCAAACTCTGGCTAGACAAGCTGCCAACCCACACCGCGCAGATTTTGGCAACGCTTCCTGAGGACTTGAACCTGCTACGAGTGGCTGCAATAACCGATAGAATCGTAGAATCGTACAGCACCCATATTTCCTCGGCGGACAGCACACCCGGTGACGATACGCTAAAGAAAATGCAGCAGCAGGTCAAATTGTCCATGCAACTGGAGCGCCTGAGTAGAGTGCGTTCGCGTGCAACATAAAACGCATACAAGTCTCGACTCCACAAGTAGATCTAATTCGAGGACCAGGAGTAAACCAAACACTGGTATTTGCTGGTACCACCAGAAGTTTTGACAAGCAGCGAGACATTGTGCAAAGCCTTGCCATTTCAACGATCAACCAATATCTACTACGAAAAAACAAGCGGGAAAAGGCGATCCCAACAGCGCATGAAGACGGCGTCTGCTGTTGGGGGAAATCGAGTTAACCATCTTTTTTACATCAACGATATTAACTCAGGCGAGTTATTTTTGGTGGACACCGGAGCCCAGGTCAGTGTAGTCTCACCCAGAGCTAACACCACAACGAGCGAATCATCATATGCCCTGCGTGCAGCAAACGGTACGAAGATCGAGACATTTGGCTGGATTTCTCTCACACTCAACATCGGCTTAAGAAGATCGTTCCTGTGGATGTTCACCGTCGCACAGGTGAAAATTCCTATCCTCGGGGCCGACTTCTTAGCCCCCTACAAGCTCTTTTGGATATGTCTACCCACATCCTAATAGACCAGACGATGTAACAGGCATTATTTCCACATATACATCCACTAAAATCTGTGCCGCACGTCTTAGATAAATTCCTTGCGCTTACACCTTTCACTCATACGGAGTCCGTCAAACACAACACTGTACATCGGATTCAGACATCTGGAGCTCCTGTTTTCTCATCCCCTCGCAGATTAAGCCCGGATAAATACAAACTATCGAAGGCTGAGTTTCAGCACATGTTAGACCTCAGCATTATACGACTGTCATCTAGCCCCTTCGCTTCCCCATTCCATATGGTGTCTAAGACACGGTCGGGGGCGTGGAGATCCTGTGGAGATTTTCGACGTCTTAACGCACAGACTGTCTCTGATAAATACCCTGTGCCAAACCTAGCAGACTTTGCAATAACACACCAAGGTGCTCAAATATTTATAAAAATTGACCTAAGGAAGGCATTTTACCAAATTCCGGTAGCTCCAGAGGACGTTCATAAAACTGCAATAACTACACCCTTCGGCTTGTACGAGTTTTTGCGGATGCCTTTCGGACTATGTAATGCTGCACAATCTTTCCAGCGGCTAATCGATGAAACCCTTCGTGGATTACCACATTCATTCGCCTACATCGACGACTTTCTCATAGCTAGCAAAGACATGAACGAGTACATAGGTCATGTAACCCAAATTTTCGAGCGACTCAACCACTTTAGTCTTAAAATTAACCCCCAACAAATGTGTATTCGCAGTACCCAGGCTAGTCTTTCTCGGGCACGAGATAGACGGTACTGGCATTACACCTGTCGCCGACAAAGTAAAAGCAGTACAGAATTTTCCCCTGCCGACAACACTTCGACAGCTTCGCAGATTCTTGGGACTAATCAATTACAACAGTCAGTTTATCCCTAAATGTTCACACATACTGTCACCCCTGACAAATCAACTCCGTAACCAGGGGGAACGCAACGCCAAAATTACACTCAATGGTGAAACTTTCACTCTGCATTCAATGAAGCCAAGAACGCCCTACCGAATTTCACCAAGCTTACTTATCTTCAAGATGATGATAAAACACACCTATTTTTTACGACCGACTTTTCTTCAGAAGCAATCGGAGCTCTATTACATCAGCATACAGGCGATTAACTAAGCCACTTTCATTTTACTCTGTAAAACTTAATCCTCCGTAAAAAAATACAGTACTTTTTCGCGTGAGCTGTTAGCTATCTATACAGACATCAAACACTTTCGCTGTCTTTTAGAGGGACGCAATTTCAGCGTTTTCACGGATTACAAACCCTTTATTTATGCTTTACATGCTAAGAGCGACAAATATAACCCTCGTGATTACCGACTGTTGGACTATATTTCCCAATTCACGACGGATATTCGATACATAAAGGGGAATCATAATACTGTAGCAGATACGCTGTCGCGCGCTACTATAATCAATGCATCGAGCAAATAATCGCTTGACATTGATACATTAGTCAACGAGCAACAAAGGGACGACACTAAAAGAAGACACATGTTTATGAATTGAGCTACGTCATGTGCCCTTCAGCAGTAGGCACTTATTATGTGACGCCAGCTATCAATACATCTTAACGATAATTGACAGATTTATTCGTTGACCAGTCCACCAGAATCTGTTGCTAACGCAATTTTGCAGGAATGGATTTCCATTTTCGGCTGCCCCTCGATTATAATGACAGACCATGGTCCACAGTTTCAGTCGACATTATTCATGGAATTTGTGAACTTGCTTGAAGCTACCCATATCTTGACAACTGCATATCACCCTTGTGTGAATGGTCTTGTCGAGAGGTTCTATCGTCAACTTAAAGCCGCATTAACAAGTTCTGACAACGCCCAAACATGGCTGGAGAAATTACCGTTAGTTATGCTTTCGTTACGAACCCTGATGAAAGAAGATCTTCAGTGCACTCCTGCAGATCTTGTCTTTGGTACATCTGTGACACTATTTAGATATGGTAATTAACCGTAGAAATTAAAACAGGAAATACTGAAAGCGGAAAGAAGTTACCCCGAAAGATATACCGTTCGGTGTTAAAAAGATTTTATTTTATTTATGAAAAAGATACTTTTCACAAAAGACAGTAAACCCGTAAAGCCATATGTGAGATTTTATCAGATTGATTAATATTGTTGTAAAGAAGTGCCTTTCCGAAAGAAATGGGAGAATTCGGAAGGATAAACAAAGAATTAAGATATCAGGAAGACCACATGGCGGTCATAAAAATTTCGGCCTGAGATGATTGCCGATACAGGGTAGGGAGAGTCAGTATTAATATTAATATTCCAAGATATTATTTATTTATTTTTCTTGAGTGCCAGCAAGGAAAGGCAATATGGTGATTATAAAATTTTGGCATTTTTCTCAATGTGGGTGGAGAGGACCGTTATTATTTACTTTACCAAGGTGTCGCTTTCAGACGCCGAGGCGTTGAGTAGCAATATGGTGATTGTAAAATTTTGGGCAGAAAAAAAAGATAGCGTAGAAGAATTGTGATTTGGTGAGATAAAGAATTTAATTTCTCAAGAAGCTAAGGGTTCCGGTATAAGCTAACTTCACGAAGGGACCAGATGGCAAACTTTGACAGTGATTGATGGAATTGGTAAAGAGTGCTGGCTAAGTGGATTCTGAGTGACCAAAAGATATGATAGTTTTTAAGTGGCAATATGGGATTCGTAAAAATTTTGGCCGATGAGAAAAAGGAGAATTTTGTAAACAAAAATTCTGGATTATAATTTTAAGGAGGCCAGCTTAGCCACACCTGCACGGCCGGGATGCCATTGGTTGAGTGGTAGCAATGGTGATAGGCAGATGTGAATGGATGAGAAGGACAGAGAAATTATTAACGCCCACTGAAGGGATAGGTATGAGATATCAATGTGAGAGAGGAAGAGTTTAGGAGGATAGCTCTATTCCGACCTCCCCTCACAGACGCGGGAGACCCCACCAATAAAATAAAAAAAAATGGAAAGTTATTAATTTTCCGAAAATGGGAAGTAATCAATTTTCATAGCCTGACAACAAAAAGATTTCTTGTTGGGAATCGAGATTTACCGAGAACCCCAGGCCGCGTCTGGCCCGCACCGGGTTTTGGTCGGTACCCATATAAACGAACGTCCTCGGGCCGTTCGACAGTCAGAGAGTCAGTCGAGTCCAGTTCAGTTCGAGTAGCGGGAACCAGAGTGTTGCCTCGCAGAAGCTGACCGAGAGATTCCACAACTTCCGACTTCGCCTATCCTAAGTTAACTTATATTGACGAAGCCAGCACCTAAGATTTAAATCACTTGACTTAAGATACGAAACTTGCTTGAAACGTAAAAGTGTCACATTCCGTAGAAAACGGTCTGGGAGGAAAACACACTCCTGCATATAACAGACGGATAAAGTTAATTTGTTATTTCTTAACATACTTGAACCTCTTGGATTTTTCTTTTATTTGCTTCCTTTTCTTTACGCTTGTGCGATATCACCTTCGGTCTGGACTCAATTTACACTACGGCCCGACGCCTGATTGATCTCGTCTACCTAAGATCAAAATCACAACGTGGTAGGTTAGACTTGAGATCGAAGCAGTTACTCCAGAAACCAGACATTGGAAGGAGCTGGGAACGATGGAGCTGGTATCGAACCGGGAACGACTGATCGATCGGGACCGTTAATGGCGACGACTAGAAGTCAACCCCAAAACGGGCCAGAAAAAAAATTACAGCTTCGCCACGACTGGGATTCCGCCGACAGCGACGACCATCGATCGTTACCAGGACACGGGCTGGATGGGAACACTAGTATAGCCCCAAAACGCCGATGGAAGAAACCTTTATACTTCGCGCCCGACCAATATAGAATGGCCGAAATATCATTCACTTGACCTTCACTGATTACATACCACAAGGAAATTCAACAAAACATTCATCAACCATTGACCCAAAACCAACATCTAAGTTGACTTAAAAACTGCAACAATTTCGTTACAAAAACGTAATAAAAAATAAAAACAACTAACCCTAATTACTAAGGGCTTTTTAAAGTACTTTCAACATTTAAAGTATTATAAATTACCAGTCGAACATCGCTATCGACCGTCGAACACATACGATTTCTTTGAGCAGGAAACCAAATCATTTTAATTTTCTTAACAATCCAACATTCCCAGGATTTCTGTCGATCACATTTCTACAAATATTTTATGACATTTCTTTAATTTTTAGTTTACCAACATAGTTAATAAATTGTAGTTTTATAGTTGACATTTTATTTGTTGTTTAATAAAAAATTTCTTTAATGTTAGTGTCTGTCAGACAACTTTATTTTTTTTTTTTTTTTTTTGCTTAATTTTTCTTTAAAATTTTGTAGGAACCTTATACAGGTCAGGGAAATGGACGCTTTCTGGTTGTAACCTAATCTTCTTGAGTGTAAATTTCAAGAATATTGATTATTTGGTCACTTTGATTTTGCAAATCAAATAGTAAAATTTGAATAAAGGGGGAATGTTCAAAATTTAGCTGTTTCAAAGCAAAATGACAAACAGTAATAAAAAAAAAAAAAATAAAAAAAAAACATTCAAATTATCATATTTAGAAAGATTTTTTTCCAACTATATGAATATTTTTAAGATTGGACCAGAAAAACTATAAATTCCGATTTGAACGAACATAACGAAACAAAATTTATCAATCTAACAAAATCAGATATTGATTGGAAATGATATCATTACACAAGAAAATGAATATCTTCCTTAAAAGCAAAAAATACTAAATTAAAAACCTAATCGAAAACCGGTATCAAGAAATAAAAAATGGAAGCCGATACCTTTGAAACATAAATAAGTGTCTCCTGTCTTCTTTAAATATATATAATATATATATATAGATAATATGAAAATATATATATATAAAAATATATATATATATATATAAATGAAAATAATATAAATATATACATATACGACATATATATATATATATTTTCTGGACGAAAGAAAG